TTGGCATAGTACCTTGACAAACAAGAATATTTAGCTTTGTCACGTTTTAGACAGTGTCTTTCCTAATTTAGTGTTACTTCCAAAAATGAAGTTAGCTAGATTGAGTAGTTGATTTGAGAACAGATAATCTAATAAGAAAAAAGCGATCCAATAATTAGGAAGTAGAGAACACAGACGAAATCTTTCTCCGTAAAAGCACAATGATGTTTTTGATTTCGGTAGAAGCCGACCAAAATAATACATTCAAGAGGGAGCAGACTATGAGAATAGAGGCTACACCTTCGCAAGATGTAATGTTAGCTCGCACGTAATTTTGCCGATCATCAAAAGCCATTGCAAAATCCCGCTCGATTCTTTCATTTGACGTTTTACATTTGAAATTAGCAGCTAGAGAGGAGAATTTTGATGTTTGAGTCGCTGGTATGTACGTTATCACGTTGCTGGTGGTCTTCGAGTAATTGCGTCGGTGGAAGGTCGTCCTACGTGACGCCGACAGACGCTTCAAGAAGGAAAAATGAGCGCGGCAGAAATTCGCAAGGAATGTCGTTTCTCTCTTGAATGAATATTAATTTCTTTTTTACCTAACAATAAGTCGCTGAAACTACGACGACGTTGTATAAATAACTCGTAAAAGAAATTCAATTTATTTCCGAAAATAGTGGTTAATTATTGAAAAAGCGTTTGCTCTGCCAAGAGGATCTCTGCGTTCGGATGTCCTTTCCTGTATGTTTCCTATATGTTTCCTTCAGAGAAAACATTACCAGAAAGGATGCACTGAAAGACCTCTTATGGGAAAGAACGCTGAAAGAAACTCTTAAAGAAATTAATCCTTTCTCGTTTTAAAGAGATAAAAATTTAAAAATTAACACTTCAATTCTCTCGTTATGGCATACTTCAGCAAAAAAAAGATCTTTCGGAAAACTTTTGTTTACTTTATTATTTCAGTTTGTTCTTGTAACTTTTTTACAAAGTTATATACATTTGCTTGATATTGTTATAGTATTCCTTAATGTCTTGATTGAAAAAATAAAATTTGTTACGATATATTTATTTTCATAAAAGTTATAAGTAATCAAAGTTGGGTTGAGTATGCACAGTGTGTTACATCTGTGACAAAATAGTATAATATTATATAATATATTGAAGAGTTAAGACATTAACAATGTATATATATCAATAATGTCAGATAAAAATCTGCAGTTTTTAATAAAATATCACTGATATGTAAATATGAATGATTCTCCCATAAAATTCTTTCTCATTGATCATCTACATAATTCACTTAGTCTTCTTAATCTGGTAAATACATTTCCTGGATTATGTACCGTTACGCGTTAATAAAGCCTCAGTCAACATGAGATAGATAGCGTGTAAGAAGATTTAAGTGAAGATTCCCACTTGTGGAGGTAACGTGTTCTAAACACACTCTTACGCAAACGAGTTCTGATATCGTTTATTCTACGAGAAGAAAACTTTGGAGCTTATAGCTCAGAACTCAGTTTACGCCACGTATTCTCTTTACGTAGAATAGATGCAATACATTGAACTGGTTCACATAATATTAAAATAACAACATTAATAGCATGTCTATATTTGTCTACGATATTGAGAAGTTTCAAATGAAATTTAAATTATTTTATTGCATTTATTCCTAAAAATTCTTCTAAAATTATATGTTTTATTCCTCTATTATACATTTCTTCAATTTGTTGTGTGTGTGTGTTTCTGAATTTAACTTATTAAATTACCCTTTTAAAATTATTTAGAAAATTTCATAAATCACCCACAAAAAAGATTTGTATATTCAATGCTATTACTCCTCGATTTAGAATAAAATAAGATCGATATACCAATCATATTTATTCTTTAGAGAAGAATATTTTATTCTTAAATGGAAAATTCTAAAATCTAGACTAAAATATTCTTGATGTTATCCCATTAATTTTTTTAATAGAAAAATTTAAGTTAGACACAATATTCTTTTTTTAAATACTGATCTAAAAGAAATATTTTGCTCTATGGGACTCAGGATTTCTCGTTTCGCGTGTCCTAGCGTACACCACGAGTAGAGCTTCGCTGCCATATGATACTGGATGCGTTCCGAGTTACGCATGTTTTGTGGAAAGAAATTTGCATATATTAGTAATCTTACATTTTTCGGCAACGAAGAAGAATTGGGCTTGATTAAGCGCATGATGCATCATTTGTTTTTGTTGTTTACCAATTAATAAAGAAGAATAAAACGATACATCATGCGTAACTCGGAACGCATGTACCCATAGTAGCACATCATGTATATAATATACAATAATACTGGATAAAGATTTATTCTAAACGTAAGAATATATAAACTTAAATTTATATGTATTACACTTATCTCAAGACAAGATATAGATCTTATCTTATTCAACGCAGTAGAATAAAAATTGATTTAATCTTAATATAGTTATAATTTTTACTGTATTGAGTTGAGCTAAGATTAAGTATATCATGAAATTTTTTCTGGGTATCAAAAATCCTTTCTGAGAGTGTATTCTTAAATTTGTTGTAAATGATTTATATAAAAAATATAATATGATATATAAAAAAGTAATATAAAAATAAAATGAATATATATATTATCAAATCTTTACATTATCAGTTTTAGGATATAATTATTAAATAAATTTTGTTGGCTATTCACTGTTCTGAATCTGAATTTATTTTATATAAATATATATAATAATAAGATAGAAATTACTTAAATAAAATCTTTATTGATTTTAAGCTGTTTTATCATCTGCATATCAAATCATTATTCAGATGATTTGAGTTGATATACATATTAGTATTTCTAAACAGAAACGTTTTTAACGTCGATAGAAATTATTCAGATTCTCATGATGTAATGGAGAAATTTCAAAATCGGCGAACCTGTTTATTCACATTAATAAGTACTATCGATTCGCTTTATGGCATAGTAGGATGATCTATATCGCATCTCAAATAGCCTGATGCGTTCTAATCAATTCTCATCCACCGTAAGTAGAATTGAGCGATCAATACTTACTGTTCTCTTAAAGATTTGAGTATTATCTTGAAGAATTGAGTATTATCATATTGAGCAAATTAATTAATGTATACATTTTAAGCATATCAAACATATGATCAAATAACTTCTCACATTCATAGCGATGCGCTATGCACAGTGCTAAAAAATTAAAAAAATATAGAGACAAAGTATAAAAGATGTTTAAAGACCTGTATATTTTCTGAGTAACTTTCAATTTTTTTATGATGAATTTATTAATTAGTAAGAATAAGGTTGAGTCGAATAAGACATCACAAATAAGGCACACTTTTAAATGTATTACTTAAAAATTCGCTTTACATCGAGAGTAGATGTATGCTTAAATGAAATACTATAGGAAATTAATAGATAAAAAAGACTAATAAATTAGAATTAACTGTAACACGTTTATTTAATGCAATAAAAACTTGCAACGAAGAGTGTGTGTGTGTTGTGTTGTGTGTGTACAAGCCATTTTTGTCATAATTAACTGCAAAATTTATCAAGTACGTTATTTTATGGTTTTTTATTATTATATATTATATTATTCAACTTCCTAACTTGGAAAAATAATAAATAAATCGATTTTTAAAAATAATCATTTTTTTTAGATACAATGAATTCTTATCAAATGAGGACTATTTATATATTGTTATGGGTGCCGTTATTTGCTTGTTATGTGTGAGATTTACGCCAGAGGATAACAATTTTTAATGCTGTTAACTTTTAAGAAGTTAAAATTGCATTCAAAAATTGTAAGAAGTTTCCAAAGATTAAAAGATCAATTGTAAATTAAATTAAAGATAATTGTGATGTTTAAAATAGAGTAAGTCCAAAAGAATTTCCTCTTTTTATGACTAATAGTAATTTTAAAACCGCTTTAGATAATGTTTGGCTTCTTTGTTATATTTTATTATTATTTTAAATTTATTTTTAATTTGGGCCTTATTATATTCATGTGCATGTAATAAGGCCCAATCAGAGTTAAAAATATTATAAATATTTTTTTCGTTTATATATAAAAATTCTATATAAAAGATATATTTTGTTTCTGTGAGTGAGTGAAATAAATATTTTATTCTCATTTCGCGTTTATTTCAATATTTTCAATATCCCTATAAATAGAATTTTAAAAAATTAATTAGGTAAGCCTTATTCGGCTCAAGTACCTAATATGCATAAAATTGAAATATCTTACAATCTGAAATGTGTTATATTGAGGAAATTATATAGATTGAAACTGACACAATCGCTCTTGTTCAAACGTCAAGTTAATTGAGGGTATTATATAATTAACGCAATCAATATGTAGTTAATTTAATAGTAGGTATGATTATTAATACAGTTGTAATGACAAAATGCGTTGTTATATCAACACAATGGTTTTTGATTGTCAAATTAACGAATTATTAACGATTTTCTTTGTAATATGTGTTTGTATTGTATTAAATTCTTTTTCTGTAATTGTTCTATGTTAGTATTAATTTCTTCAAATAATGTTAATATTTATGATAATATTTAATGTTAAGTTATAGTGAGAAAGGAAATCTTAATAACTCTCAATCTTCATAAATTTAATGTTTCAATATTATTTTACAAAAATAATCTCGATATACAAATTCGAAAGTCCTACCTAAAATATTCGGTTTTAAATAGTATTTTCTCCAAATAAAGAAAATATCGTCATTAGGACCTATACTACCGCATAGATTAGATAAAACCTACGACATATGTAAATTATAACTGCAACAAAAGGGCAACAGTAAAAGTTATATCTAAAGAGGATTTTCGAGCATCAACGATCTAATATATCTCACCGTTTTTTCTCTCTCGCGAAATGAGTTCTCGATGTTTTAATTTGCGTCACAGTACAAAGACTTGACATTCTCGCGGACTAAAAAGCAAGAATTGTATCATTAAATGACATTCGTGTTACATCGTTCGATTGCAGAGTGCCGGTGAATGAGAGCACGAGGAACGCACACAGAGGGCGACGACGCCCTTGAGGCTTGAACGGGGAAAATATGGTGCACGAGGGCACGGGTCTATGGCACGCGGCGGGATTCAACGTATCGAAGTGGCTGATGATCATAATACATGGATACCGGGTCACCACCCTCGTCCTGTACATCCTGCTCAACGTACTGGTGCGCACCGGTAAGTACAACCATCTTCCGGTTTCCCCTTCGATAGAGTATGTTTTTCTGCGGGAAATTATTGTTTGCGCACGCTCCATCCGTTGTCAAAGCCGAGCGTATTCCGGCGATGCGTAAAAGTAGAGGCAGCTTCGAGCGCTATTTGTATTGACTACCTTCTTTTTTTACCCACTTGACGTTCGCATATTCTCCCGAAAGTTTGTTTTGCAAATACCGCACATCTTTCAGTTCGAAAATATTGGATTAAAACTTTTTATAGATCAATAACTACGCGAAGATTATTGTAATAATGACAATGATAATGTAAAACAAATCAGAATTTGTCATCTGTGAAAAGAGAGAAATCAACGCCTCCTATCGATTTCCATTAAATAATTCTTGGTAATTATTCGGATTAACAGATACCGCGTCAATGACCTTGATTTTGACAAATGTTATCAAGGTCATGACCCTGAGTAATCTTCAAAAGGTTTTAGGTGACGGTAATTATTTATTCAAAAGTTATTATAAAAATTTCATTCAAAAGTTATTAATATTTGAATAAAAAATTATTGAAAATCAATATTCAGCGAATTTTAGTAATTAATATCTTGTTAACTATTGCGAAAATTACAAAATGGTAGAGAACTTTTCGACTCAATTTAGTCCATTCTGTAGCTATGAGAGAGTTTTATCGTTAATTATCAGACATCCTGTATATATATATTTACGATATATAAAGACCGTAACAACGTTTAAGAGTAAATTTCTGAGATCGTTTTGAGATAAAAATTTTAATACCAAAATGTCAATGCTATAACAATTTTTAAATTATAAGCATTTAAAGTTGACAAATCATACCAATCAAGGTCATCTAGGTCATCGGAGCTGCTTCCCTTATTTGGCATATTTACCCATTATTTATTTAAATTTTTCGCATACAACTATATTTTTTTTCTCTAAGGATGACTTAAAGTTGAGCCAAAACGGTATGAATTAATGAATTATTAAATGATGTAAATTCAGGTGTATATTATTAATCACAATTTGCTCACCATTACTTATACTTTTACCAGTCATTTCACAATTATTAATTCATTACTTTTTCGAAAATCCCATATACTTTCAATTAATATTTTATTAACAGTTATAAATAATTATGTGCCTGTGACCTGTAAGAGTTAATAATTATTCGCGAATTTAATGAGAGTTAAAATCTCATTTAAAATTCAAGTATATCTATCTTGTTTATCTCTCGAATGTTGCAGCAATAACGATAAATCGATGTTGGCCCTCCAAGCACACGCATGATATGACGATACATCATAGTTTACCACTCAAAGGATTAATGTATTTAAATTACGTCCTAGTATGCGCAGATATACCACTGCATATCGATACGAGTATTAAAAGTAATCTAGTTGCATGCGTGTGCTCGTCATATTATATATGTTTTATGAATTCGATATAACATCATTCGTAAACAAAACATGTTAGCATACTTGCCACTCAATCGCACTTGCGGTAAAATTTATAAAGATATTTGTTTTAACATCAACATCAAACACGCGTTATTAATAAAATTTAATCGATAAAATTGTTCTTTAAACTTTCGCAACGCTGATTTCTTTTTGAAGAAAGATCTCATATATTAGTGATACCAATCTGTGTTTTAAAATCTTTATTATTCATTTAAAAGAAATATATGTTTTATCGTAATATTTATTGCAATATATAAATATTACAATAAAGTACGAATTCGGAATTTAAATGTTTATCCAAATATTTGCTACAAAATTGCTATGAAAAATGAATCTTGTTCCAATAGCATTTTAACATTAAAAAACAAGAAGACTATAATACTTTATATGCACATATAAACAAATATATATACATATATATACTGTATATAATATGAGAAAGGTATTCTGAGCATTCGCATCACATAAAAATTACATTAAAAATGCAAAATTCCGCGCACACTGTACTGTTACAAATATAAAATGTAACTATTGTATATCGTTATTCTAATTCGGAAATAGCAGTTGACGTGTTATTAACATTTGGTGAATGTAGAAGAAATTTTCGAATCTGAATCTCTAATCTATATATAGTTATTTTATAAATGTTTATATTTTTAATTAGAAATGGAACAATAAAGTAGAATGAATCCTGCAATTTTTTTTAATATAAATTTAATATTAAATAATAAAAATGACATATCGCATTGATGTATTTAATTCGTCTTAATATCCTCTTTTCAAAATCATAAAAAAATCGTGTAGTGTTATTCAATTAACTTTTTCAAGAGACAAGTGTCTTATATTGGTATCACTTTCTTTTATTTTATAAACTTCGTTAGTCGATTTTTATAAAATTTGAGTTTTGAGTTATTCCTAATGTTTTTGTCAAATCTGAAATAAAAAAATTGTAAATTTTTAAATAGGATGGATCTAGTTTGACGAATGTTTAAATATTCAAAAAAAAAATGAAAAACTCGCCGTAGTTTTGAAAAATAATATGCTTAGACTATCCAGTATCCGAAAAATCAGAATTTTGGATTCAGCAATAATCACACGAATCCATTTCTATTTATTTTAATTCCTAAGGAATTGCTGACAGTGTCAGCATCACAGCCAATACGATGGCAAGAATCAAATACAGCTAGCAATCTAGCAAGAAAACAAGCATCGTGTGTCGACGACTTAACATATTGTCTTACGCAAATCTGAAGATCAAGAAGAAAGCGCCGGAAATGTGTATCTTTTTCTCTCACGTTTTATATATACATATTGTACATAAACACATATGCATATGATTTTTTTTTACAAAGTTATACCGTTTTAAGAAAAGTGTTACAAAACGAACAATTTTTTCTTGTATATTCAATATAATTCAAAAACAAATTTTTATTGTAGGGAACTTTATTAAAAATGAAATTAAAGTGTGAATTGTAATCTTATAAAATTTTTAAAGCTGGTGTAAGTGCATGTATGTATACATATACTTGAGTATGTTCTGTTTTTGACATTACCCAGGATCATCAACGGCGTGGCAGGAATTTAATTCTGTGTATACCATATGTGTATATGTTTTGTGTGCGTGTGTGTTTAATAACGTGTATTGCCTCCTCTCGTATTTATCAATTCGTGTGTTCGTTACTTTCATCAGTAGCACCCTACAGGTGCACTTTCATCAGTAGCACCTGTAGGAGGAATGACATAATTTAAGACAAGAAGAACTAAGACATTTAGGGGCCTATTCCATAATTCTTAACTACTGTAACGATATTGTTACATTGTCATTACGCAAGTTTTGTATATAGTAAAAAAAGCTGTGCAACAACGATATAATGATATCGTTACAGTCGTTAAGAGTTACAGAATAGGCCCCTTAATTTACAGTATGTGAGAGATGGAAAGAAATGAAGAAGGGAATGAACGTATACGGGGGAGAATAGGAGACTCGATAATCGATTATATAATGGAAGATGAGAGGGTGAGAATAAGTATATATGCAGTATAAAACTACATTGTTAGATTACTATTATATTATGTAAATTGATACAAAGTTATATCAATTATCTCGCACGGAATGCAAGAGATCCGGGTTCGACTCCCGGCCGAGGCATTATTTTTCGCAATAAGTTTTATTACAGTTTTTAAGTTGGGGAATTTGGGGGGATTATTAATATTTTCAGATTTGATTGCGTTGAAAGTCCGACAACCATATCGGCACGCAATTATCATTTCTGAAATTAATTCATTTAAATGAATTTACAATAGTTCAACATCTTAACGTTCTGACCGTTATGGCGCTTCTTAATTTAAATTATATCAATTATATCTGATTTTTTAAAATGTTTATATCATACACAAATTAAAATATATTTTGGAAATTTTTTACATATCTCATTTGCTCGGTTATTTCATATTTTTATTAGATGTTATTTATATTCATATTGCTTGTCGATTTAATTCGTGATATTTATACTACAGTAGTTAATTTTGCGTTTATAAGTCCGGAAAACCAATTCGGCGCACAGTTCGAATGACTACAAATATGGTATATATGCAAGCGCATATATAGTATCAGGGAATGGAAGTAACTCGTTACTTATAACGAAGTTACAGTTACAAGTTACTTTTTGGGTAACTTTACTGATAACTGCGTTACTTTTTCTTTTTGGTAACTGTAACGGGGTAACTTAGTTACATCTTTTTGGTAACGGTAACGAATTTTATAGTTTACTTTCATCGTTACTTAGCATACGATTGAATAGAGATGTAAAAAACGGTATTTTTTACTTCGGAGAAAAGTATCAAGCAAACAATTAGTTTTTTTACTGTAAATAACGATATTTTTGACTAAATTACATAAAATTCATAAAGAAACAAGTTATTTCAATATATTGGAACAACAGACATTTCATATATTTAAAAGCTAAATAAATGATGTTATTAATACAGATAATACTTTATAAGCATAACAGATATTGTTTTGTTGCATATTGATTATAATTGTACTCTATATTTTAATTATTTTAAGACATCCCAATATAATATTGATTTAAGCGTAGTTAGAGATTCGATGAACGTTGTCTCACTATAATTTAAATTTAGAATATGTATAATCACAGTATACGACAAAAAATAGTGTCAATTAGTCTAGTAAAGTATTATTTGTATTAATAATACAAGTATGGAATACTTACTTCACTTTTAAAATTGAAGTACAGTATACAGAAGTAAAATGTCATTCAAATAATAGTGAAAAGTAAGGTATATTTATAGTCATCGACATTATACTATATTATAACTTTGTAACTATTTTCACACAGAAATCTTACGGATAAATGCAAAAATTAAATTCTGGAGCAATAATACAGCGTTGAAATCGTGAAATGTTAAAAAAATATCCGAGTAAAAAAACTGTCAAAGCCGAAGGAAAAAAACCATTATTTCTCAAATTTTTTACCCTAAAATTCTAGAATTTTTCCATCGTTTACATCTCTACGATTGAACATCGATTAGACAAATAGACACAAACCACTCATAGCACTTGAGACTGTGGAAAGCCTCCAAGCACTCGTTTGCTGTGATTGGTGGTCGTCGATTTTAAAAAAATAACGAAAAGTTACTTTTTCAAGTAACGGTAACTGTAACGAGTTATTTTTAAAAATCGGTAACTAGTAACTGTAACTAGTTACTTTTTCTACTCGGTAACGAGTAACTGTAACTTGTTACTTTTAAATAGTAACTTTCCATTGTATAGTAATTCTTGAAAATAAAGATTGAATTATTTAAGCATTAAAGAACTTTGATCATTACGGCCATTACTTTTATTTCTTATTATTGAATTTTCAAATGTACGATCCAGTAAAATTCTTATTATTTATATTCACACACACACACACACACACACACGCGCGCGCGCGCGCGCGCACACGCACACGCACACGCACACGCACACGCACACGCACACGCACACGCACACGCACAGTAACAAAAAAAGTTGGTGAGATATGATTTAAGTGAGCAGTACGCATTAGGCAACTCATCTCTATATGTATACATATATCGCTATAAACGGAAGTTTAGTATAAATCGCTATGTAATCCTAGAAGTATTATGTTTATTGCGGTATATTGCAAATATTGTATCAATTTCCCGCAGAGATGCATTCCACTCTCTACAAAAACGAGCGAGGTGCGAAAAGCTTAATGGATCGATCACCACCCGTCACGAATGTATAATAGAATCGTGGCGCAACGTGGCGAAAAGTTGCGAATTACTTTATCTTGAAAGATAAAAAGTCGGGACGTGAAAGATTAATCGGCGCTCCAACGCGCGACACGCTTCTTCATCAAACAAAGTGTGTATTCATCTTCGAAAACTGTCGCGAGTCGGCACCTACGTGAGCGTATTTGCCATTCAAATGAGCGGTGGGACGTATCGATAGAAGTCCTTAAGTGTATAAACGATTGCGGGGAAGAGCTCGGTTGATACGATGTGTCGGCGATAAAGCGACGGTCGACCGCAAAGATGCAAGACGGAGACGTTTCACCTCGAGCACTGCACTGCCGTGCTCGTTGGTAATGAGGGTCATCAATAAAGTAGCGTCACCAACAATTAATTAGGGATATCGACGTAGCACGCACACATAACTATTGTTATCACCGTCAAGCTGTCGTTAAATTGGGATGGAATGGGATGTGCTCGTGCAAACATTGGGAGGGCTGCGTGATGACTTTGTGAGGACAAATCTGCAGATATATATCGCGGAGATACTCCTCCTTAAGGAAGTTTTTCTAGTTGTGCTAGCTCTTTTTTTATCGGATTAATTACGCTGCCCCGCTGATTGACTGTGATTGAAGTTACCTTATTGTATATTGTTGTCAACAAATCATTATTTTTTGTCTCTTTGAAGCTTTTTATATTTATTTTTCATAGGCATTTTTTTTCCAGAAGAGATTGCAAATAATGGAATCAATCTTTAGATATACACAGTTGAAAAACTTTTGTTAAATTGAATAAATTCACGTGTTCCAAACGATACATTTACATTATTACATTAATTTAATATGAGATGAATTGATATTTAATATGTTAGGAAGTAACACATTTATATTATACAAAAAATTGACATAAAAATGTAACATTGGCACAATTTGTAAGCAAATTGTGGAAGCATATTTCTTCAGTAAAGTTATCATATATATAAATTAATACGTACATCTTAATTATTATCTTAGAATTTTAATTTTAAAATACATTATTTTTATGTTATTTGACCACTTACATAAATTGTGTTATTTTAACATTAAGAAACATTGTGAACATCAACTTAACATAAAATGTTTAAATAGCACAATCACATTACGTTCAATTAACACTCGAATACTGTTAAAAATTCAATACAAAAATTTGTTTAACAAAGATTTGTTTTAATACAAAATATAAACGTTTTGTTTTTATAAACAAAGTATTTTTACGAGAGAGAATATGACAAAATCGTTCGCGCTAAGCGTGTTATATTAGCGAAATTTTACATTTTTTACACATTCAAGCTTCATTAATTTGTGTGAGAAGTTAATAACTGCAGTGGCAGTTACGATCCTTTTTTATAAATTACAGGTATGCTGGATATACGTGGAATTAATTCATAAATTACGTACCGAGTTAAATTCCGCAGAAAACCTTCGCTGTAAAAAGCTCTTTTGAATGATTAATCCGTTCGCGCTTGAAGGTGGAATATCTTATTAATGCGCAATAGAAAGCGTACAAGATCACGACAGCAAGAAAGTGGATTTAAATTGTTCGATCTGTTTAAGAATTAACACGCGGGAGTCATGAAAGTCGGAATTCGTGTCCATTTCCGAACTTATTTTCACAAGTGTACCTCTCGAGAGAAGTGTTAATGTAATATATACAATGCAAAATTGTCGTGATTCTTACTTTATTAGGTGCATCTCGTTTTATTTATTGTGATGCAAATAAAACAGTTACGAGAGTAAGGGGCTGCGCACAATCAAGGAATAGAAACAGGAACAGAGAATAAAAATTTCACCTATCAAAAACTGTGTATTCTATTGTATAGTGCATCGTTTCTGATTGGTTGAAATTTTTATTCTCTGTTCCTGTTCCCTTTCTCTGTTCCTATTCCATCATTGTGCGCAACCCCTAAAGCCGACGACACATGCGATGCTTGTTTTTCTGCTGGATTGCTAGCCGGATTAAAACCTTGCCACAGTATTGGCTGCGATGCTGGCACTGACATCGTGTGCCACCGACTTAAAAGTCTCTTTGTTTGCCGCTTAATTATATTGCCGTTTAAGATTAGTCATATCGTAAATAGCACTTATACACAGACGATTTACATGTCATTGACATATCACTACATACTACTACATCAATATCTCACTCACACATGCCATACATACACATAAAGGACCTAGCGGAATAATGTCCGTTTCTACCAATGTAGTTTAATTTTAATCTTAGTTCAATTTGTTCCTCATCCCTTTCTAGTCCTAAGAATTAGAAAAAGATAAAGAGCAAGTTGAACCGAGATTAAAATTAATCTACATTGGTAGAAATAGGCATAAGTACCTACGGTAAAAATGTCTCCACGGCTTTTAGAGTTGACCTTTTTTTCTAAGGTTACTCATATGAAAAGACGCTTACATATCAAATTTTAGATTTCTATATGGAGACCTGATCAAGTTAGAGCGAAAAAATGATTACAAATTTACGAATTTAATTTAGTAAAAATTCAAATAAAATTCTGAAAAAATTCTGAAAAATTGGTTACTCCAAAACACAAATAAGAATTCTTTGAAAATCTTTTTCAATGCGAATTTCAATTCTGAAAAAAATAAAAATAACATTTAAACATTTTTTCACCCCGATTCCGTTGATTGACCATCTTAAAAAAATTTCATGTCAATTTCTGTTCAACTATCTAAAAAAATATCTTTTTTAGATTTTTTCAAAAGGTTGGCCACATTGAGAAAAATTAAATTACATGTTTTCGTTAATTTGATGAAATAATGAGTAACACAAACCGTCTTTATCAGTTCTCTAATATTTTATTTACCTATAAAATTCTCTCTCTCCATATTAAAATATTTTAATGAACACAAGTTGAAAGTGACACCCTCATTTCTCAATCGTTGGGTTGAAAGGCAGTTATTTTTATTTAATTAATTACAAATTACATTTATACGTTAGACTATGGTTTTTAAAAAATAAGGGGGGTATTATAATTAGATCAACTTGCTTCACACCGCCGATGAAGGGTTCTGTGATACCCGAAACGTTCGGTCTTACATTTAATGTTAAAGTGAATTTATTTTGAACAAATTAGAATTTTTGCTCGTTCACAATTATTGGTCTTTTATTAATTATTGTAATTACATTTATATTCTGACACACAGTTATCGTATATTATACTAATATATCATACAGGGTGGCCCACGTAAATTTTTACAAACTAATAACTCTAAAAATATTTGTCCTATCAAAAAGTTGTTCATAAGAAAGTTTCATATATTCGAGGGGCTTTTCTAGTAGTAGTAGTAGTAAGAAACACAGGTGGGGCTATGACAGCCGCCTAACGTGACCTAGATCTCTAAAGTTCCATTGTCACTCCCTGTTTGTCTCCAAAGATTAGGCGGTTTAGCCCAGCCCCGTACCGTGTACTAGGCTTATGAGGTCGTCTATCTTTGCTCCGTCCAGATCCTCAGACATCAGAAACGTGTTGCTCCAGGATCTGTATCTCTTGCAAGCAAGCAGAGGGCAGCGACACAGAAGATGTATGCTGTCCTCGTTTTCTTCTCCACATAGCCGGCAGTTTTTCTGGTCGGCTAGTCCAATGTTGTATAGGTGTGCTCTGAGAAGCAAGTGTCCTGTGAGGAGGCCTATGCCCATTCTCAGTTTGTGTCTTCCCATAGCTGTCAGTTCTTTTGTTCTGGCCAGATTAGGTTGTTTCGTTAGTTGCTTTATCAGTTTGCAACCCTTTGATTTTTTCCAGGAGTTTATAAGTGCACCTGTTCCAACATCTCTTTTATCTTTCTTTTACCTAGCACGAAGAGAACTCCGACGGTCTATTCAGCCGGGTCCATTTCTGTCCTTAGCTTTGCTAGACCGTCCGCCCTCTCATTACCAGGTATGTCCTGGTGTCCAGGGACCCATACTAGAGTAACTTGGATTGTTTCCCCTAGTTTGTCAAGGGCTTGCATACAGTCCCAAACTACAGACGATTCTGTGGTGATCTTTGCAAGTGCAGCAAGAGCTGCTCTGTTATCTGAGCAGATACAGATGCGATGCCTGATTTTTCTATCAATCAGGAGTTCTGCGCACCTCGAAATGGCGAACACTTCAGCCTGAAAGACTGTGGCCTGCCCCCTTAATAGTATGCTTTTTTCATGATTGATTTTGGGACCGTAAATGCCTATCCCAAAGAGATCATTTGCCCCCGATCCATCTGTGTACCATACGTCCACGTTTGGATTGGTTAGAAAATTGGGATCCTGCTAGTCCTCCCTAGCGGGTATTAGAACCTTACAAGTCTTCTTCTGCTGGTGCTTCCTGGGGATCCTGTCCTGCTTTAGTTTGAAAGGGGGTCTATCGGACAGACCCAGTGTAACCGAGCCTGGTTTCCTTCCACTCCCCCTGACACCTCATTCTATATGTTGCTCGTCTTGTTACGCTGATTATAACTAGGCTCAGAGGCGGAGAGCCAAGTGCTACTTCCAGCGCCTCAGTTGATGTGGTTTTCATGGCCCCTGTCACGTCCCTCAAGTATTTCCCCTGTAGGCTTTTGAGCAGGTTCTTCGCCTCCATCTTCTCCACCCTAGGCCACCAGACAACCGTAGCATATGTTAACCTAGGTAGTAGTATCATTTTGTAGAGCCACAGGGCGATCCTGGGATTAATATCCCAGTACCTGCCTATGACTCTTCTACAAGCCCACATGGATGTGTACAGTTTTTTCCTCTTTTCCTCGAGGTGTGATTTCCAGCTCAGCTTTGAATCCAGGTGAACTTCTAGATACTTCATTGGGTAGGTATACTCTATTTCCTTATGCCTATTTCCTGAGCCCCAAAGCCTCAGCGGCTCTATTGGTTCAGGCTTATATTTTCTAGTGAAAATCATGGTCGAGGTCTTCTCCGGATTCACCATCAAATTCCTGGTCCTGCACTAGTCTGGCACGATTAGTACATAAGGCTTCGTCCATGCATTTCTTAAGGGTCGTGAGGAAGTTTCCCCTGGTAATTATGGCCATGTCATCTGAAAACCAGACTCCCTCAATTTTGTGAGAAGCTCGTCTACTACCACCAAAGCAGAGGGAAGAGAACCCCCCTACGGGCAGCCCGCCGCTGGACGCCCCTCAATGGCAATATTGCCGTGGCTAACAATTAGTTTCTTGCCCTCCAGTATGCTTTGCGTTCTGTCCAGAAATGCACCTGGAATTCTGTATGTTTCCATAGCGTTCTTCATCACTGAGATTGAGATGCTGTCGAAAGCCCCTTCAATGTCGATAAAGACGCCCATCGCATATCCCTTGGCAGCCAACTGAGTCTCGACCCCGCCCACTAGGTAATGTAGGGTTGTATCCGTGGATCTGCCCTTTCTGTAGGCGTACTGGGAGGAGTTCAGTGGTTCTTGTGGCTGTTCAAAAAGTGGGTTTTTCATGTAATGGTCTACCAGTCTCTCCAGTATCTTCAGAATGAAGGGTATGAGACTGACAGGTCTGTAATCTTTGGCTACAATATGGCCTTTTCTTCCTGGCTTGGATATAAACACCACTTTGGTGCCACTCTAAGCCTGCGGAACGTGTCTCAGGGCTATGCTAGCCCTAAACACTATTGTCAGGGGATCCATCAGGGCTCCCATACCTTCTCTAAGCAGCGCTGGGTAGATGTCATCCGGTCCCCGTGACTTGAAGTGTTCGAAGGTCTTTATAGCCCATTCGACCTTGTCAGGCAACACTACTCTTGTTGCCAGTGTCCATTCCCTGGGTTTGTGTTGTTCCCTGGGTTGCTTAATTCCTTGGTGGATACAGCAAGTGTCCTCTGGAAAACCTGGAAAGTGAGTAGACATTAAGTGTTCAAGCGTTTCTTGTAACGTCTCGGTATAGTTTCCGCTTGGGAGTTTTAAGCAGCCCAAGCGGGAAAAGTTGTCTTTGCTGAGGATTTTGTTTAGCCTGGATGCTTCAGGAGCACTTTCAATGCTTTCACAGAACTCTCTCCAGCTTTTTCTTTTCGTGATGGTTAACGCTTTACTATAACAGTGTTTTGCTTGTCTGTAAGCTTTCCAATCCGCTGTTGTGTTTCTTCTTCTTGTTTTGTTGAAGAGCTTTCTTATTCTCGACCTGTGCTTCGAGAGCTTACTGCTTTACCATAGTACCTTGGTCGGTGGGTGTTTTGGCTTTTCCGGGCAGTTTGCCTCGTAGACTGTTTTTATCGCGTCACTCACATATTATTTCTAAATTCTCTTTAGAGTGAAATCTAGTCGGGGTATTCTTTAAGATGCCCTCAAGGTCCATCTTGTAGCCCTCCCAGTTCGTTATTCTAGGGTTGCAGCCCCATTCTTGATTTTCCGTATGTTTGAGGACATATCTTATCTGCCTGTGATCCGATTCTGATGGTTTTCCGGATACTCTCCAGTCACGTACTAGGTCGGCCATTTTCTCGCTGTATACGATTATGTCTATCACTTCTTGTCTTCTACAATCCAAGAAGGTTGGTTCTGATCCTCGATTCAGGATGACCAGACCAGCGCCCATTATGAATCATGGAGGTTCTCCCCTCTCGAGTTTATATTTGAGCTTCCCCACTCTATGTGGTAGGAGTTTGCGTCGCAGCCCAAGAGGAGTTCGAGCTCTTTTCCTTCGCATAGGTCACCAGCTCCTCCACCCTTTTTGATGGTGGTGCTGTTTGGGAGTCGTAAGGTATGTACACCGATCCCACCAGCATGTCCAAGTAGTTGTCCTTGTCCAGGTTGAGCCTCAGTTGTACCACGGTCAAGTCGCTGAGCTGTGACATAAGAATAGTATTTAGTCCCTTAACCATAATGCAGTCCTTATTTTGTTCTGTCTGCTTTGTAATGACTCCGCAGCTTCTCAGTCCTTTGATAGCGCTATTCAGGAACCATGGCTTCTAAATGAGTGCTGTTGCTGTCTGTATCACAGTCATGCTCCTGGTTAAAATCCCCGAGACTCCTTTACTGTGATATAAGTTAATCTGTACTATAGGTAGTGTGAGGCCCGTGTATTTTAGGCGGCCTCCTCCGCCCCGGTAGTCGTGCCCCCCCCCCTGTGTTCTTTGTCAAGCACTTTTACAGATGTTCGACCCAGTCCACAGAAGGGTTTGAAGCTACAGATCTTAAGAGCCTTCAGGAACGCCTTGCCGATCAGGGCAGCGAAGTGGACGCTCTTAGCGTTCCTACTCTCGCTCCCTCTCATGACAACCCACTCCCTGGCACCTAAACTCGCGTTTTGTCTTTTTTTTTATAACGGAGAGGAAATGCCTTCGCATACTCCGGGATCTCGGGGGAGATCCCGGGGTTATATGGGACTTGGACCCACTAAAATTCCTCCGGGTGTCCTGCTCTGGCCATAGTGAGAGGCTCCCAGGAACGCGTGCAGTATGCTTTTGGGAGCCCCCCGGCTAGCCGGCCTAGGCCGGACCTAACCCCTAACCCGCCCGGAACCTTTTTTTTTTTTTTTTTTTTTTGTGACGCAGGGGAAATGCATTTACGCATGCCCGGTCGTAACCGGGGTATGTGGGACTCCTCCTATCTAACGGAGACTACCCACTAAAACCCCAGCGAATGGCCGTCCTGACGCATTTGGAATCAGGCCGGGAACTTCGATGCTGCAGTACATCCGGCCTGACCCCGCGTACGTCGCTTTTTACTGCGACTCCGTGTCAGTGATTACAGCAGCGGAGGTGCCATTACGCCTCCGCGCTGTCCCCCGCGGAACGAGGGGTTCCGATTCCTCTGTGGGCGCCTTCTCGGGCCCTCTCGGCCCTTTCCTTCGCCCGCATGACCGTCCCGGAGAACTCGATGAATCCTCTCCTGCCTGATCCATCGATCAGGGCTCGCGCTATCGTCCGCCACGATATGACAGGTCCTATTTCTGTCTTAAGGCGCTCTCTTTCTTCGGCCCAGGCCGGGCAATGCATCAGGGTGTGGCTGGCGGTATCACTGCTGGCCTGGCAGTGCCAACACCTCTCCGAAGTCTCCTTCCCTATTTGAAAGAGGTAACGGCCGAAACAGCCGTGGCCCGTTAATACCTGAGTGGCGTGGAACGTCAGGCCCATCTTAGTTTCCACCCACTTTTCGAGGAGCGGTCGTAGCTCCTCCACTATTCCGCCATCACGTCGCGGAAGCCACCTCTCCCACTCGACTAGGAGAGCCTTGATGGCGACTCTTCTGATATTTTCGGCCGCTTCTTTAGGTACAGAGCCATGGCTACTCCTGGCCTCGCGTGTCATGTCGTACACGTCGGCCATCATAATGGCCGCCAGCTCAAACGGCGGAACGCCAGCGAGGAGGGTGCACGTGGCGTGCGACACCGTTTTGTATGCCTTTATTGTTCTTCCAGCCAGTCGTCTCTGAGCTATTCTGAGAATGCTGAGAACTCTCCTGTTTCTCTGGACCGCAACAGCCCACACCGGGGCCCCGTAGAGCATCATGGCTCTCGTAACATGGTGGTAAAGCCGCCTGACGGAGTCATTCGGCCCTCCCACGTTAGGCAGTAAGCCAGAAAGGGCCATTGCCGCCTTCTGGACCTTCGGAGTGAGGCCAACGAAGTGGGCCTCGAAAGTCCACCTACTGTCTAGGGTCAGTCCTAGGTACGGCAACCCGCCCGGAACCTTTTTTTTTTTTTTTTTTTTTTT